CTGTAATTAAATTTTAGGTTACACAAATGTATATTTTACTAATTATACACAACTTAGTATACTTTGATATAGGACATTTTAAATAAACCGTTACAATAAATTAAAACGTCACATTTTCAAAGAGAATGAGATCTAGTGATGTACCATATTCTAATCTTATTCAGCCGAACCGATAATTTCTTTATATTGGATTTAATACTTAATATTTTAGTGTTTTCATCATCAAAATAAATCTACTGCAAGACGGCGGCCAAATGTACAAAAGCCTAGTTTTTGGACAAAATCCAAACTCACACTGTATACCATAAAGGAAAACTAAGTAGGTATATTATGAAACGAATAAATACGTAAATCAAACATTTATTATATTATTTGCTATTTACTATTGATTATTATTTATTATACAATAAAGTGCGTTTTATTTCTATTTTCTGAAATTTTAAACATTCTTTTAATATCGCTATATCTTTGTTACATAGTGCTAAGATTGTGTTCGACAAGTCTTCATCGCGGTATATATTCTTATCTTCTAGTTCCAATAGATTTACGAATTTAAGAATAATGAAATGTTTTAAAAGTAACAAGTATTGATTACAAATTCCGTAACACGATTAAAAATATAGTAAGTCTGCAAAGAGCAGTCATTGTGCATCTCAGCAAGGCCAAGGCCGACAGGGCTACGGTGCGGGCAGCGGGAGGCAATAGGCTTAACGTTCAGCGCAAAGCCGTACCAACCATTCTGCACCTCGCAGTCGACTCTGACGGTTGTACAAGCGCAAGGTAAGCGGTAGATAATTTATATCTCATCCTACCGCCACTCAAGCTCTAAGCCTCAACTGCAGTTTATTCCAATTCTGATATCAATTATTGAGTGACAAATTAAACCGTTTCAAATATGTGCAATGATAATTTTAAGTGTTCTTATGCCGATAAGGTGATACTATCAAAGTCTAAAAGTTTGTGCTGCATTCAAATTTACCGCGTTAAGGTAACTAGTGGCATTGAAGAGCGGTAGGTTTCCCTCCGAAAAGTTTTGAAGCAGTTCCCGAAGGGCGGGAAGTAAGAGCCGCGTGCGTGCGAGAGCCGGGAATCGATCGGGACACCCCTCGCCCTCACCGTTCCCTACGCAGACACATTCATTAGGACAAAATATCATTCCATCATTGCATTTAGTATCCTGCGTTAATTTTGTTTATTTGCTGTAGTTTTAGTGATTTAGTGCATGTATTAGCGGCTAGTTATTCAAAAAAAGATTTGTGAAAATGGGTGGATGTGCTACAAAAGAAAACAAAGCTAAACCGGCGGATGAATCCGATGGGTGCGTATATCTAGTCGGCGCGGCGTACATTTTCAATGCCCTCTAAATAAAATTTCTTTGTATTACATTCAAATCAGTGAGTTAAATTTAAATTAATAGAAACGAAATGAATAGGGCTGCAAAAGTTTTTTTTTATCTTTCTAATAGAATCAGTTCTATAAACGTAAGGTTCGTAACATCACATACATTACAATTCAATAGTAGGTACCAATTTTAATAGAAGACTACATAAATGTTCTTAATTTTAAAATTAAGTGGAATCTTATTGAAATTGTCTGGTTTTGATATGATATTTTATAATATTAGTACTGTACAACCAAATTGTTTTAATTGTTACTCTTATAAAATTATCTCAGTAGTATTATTCTCTTAAGTGTAATTTCTAAAGATTCTAGGTATTTAACTGTCGGTAGCACTTTTTTTTATTGTGTTGTGATTGGCTGTAATCTGTTATACAATAGGGGCATTGTTAAAATGTAACTTGACGATACGTGAAAGAATGCATAAACTTATATGAAAATGAATGCAATTAGGTAATAAGAAACTTGTGATATGATCGTCAGCGGGGACTGAGTGGGAGGTTACCGGCTAGCTGCGCGCAACCAAGCAACACCGGTGCGCAGTAAGCTGACAAATACGTTCGACTTGCGCGCGTCCAAAGCGACCTCTGTTTGAATTACGTAATTCTGCGAAAATTTAAGCTCTGGGTGTGTTCAAGGAGTTATTGTATTGCCGGCACTCTGAGTGACAATTTATACACCCCTTAGCTGATAGATCCTTTGCACTCCATAGTAGAATTAGTCTCATCGTCATGAATTATAAATTGAAAGTTACGATTCCTATTGTGGTTTGTGGTGGCGCTGTCCTTGCGTATTACCTCATAAGACGGTGTGTATATTTTACTAATGACTTCGACAAAACTATCTACCTACTTATGAAATTATTTAATAACATTTTCAGTTTTATTGTGACTAGATTAGTCTTACGTCTTACGTACTCGTACCTAGAAATTTAATTTAACGTTTGGCTGTAACTTTCACATTCACCTTGACTTGCACAACCCTACGCACGTAAAAACTTTTTCAAAAGCAATGGAATTTTAGCATAAATATTTGACAGTTGTCATAATTTACCGGGCATAAATGCTAATTGCAAAGCAAAATTTTCGGATAGTACGGAAGAGCCATCGTGATTGTATTTCTTGTTAAACATTTAATTTATTTTCTTGTCTTGATCTAAGTTATATATTAATTTGAACAAAATAGTAGAAATGTGTACAAGAGCGACATGCGCTGCCCTCAAAGCGTTAGTTAATTAAAAAAAGATACTTTCGTGAATAATCTGCACGTTGAAGTAAAATAATTAATATGTCCTACAGAAAAGCCGCAGCAATGGTGGACGCCGCAACTATTGAGAAATTGGAGGCTGGATTCGCCAAGCTCCAGGCCTCCGACTCCAAGTCGCTGCTGAAGAAGTACCTCACCAAGGAGGTCTTTGATGCTCTTAAGAACAAGAAGACCTCCTTCGGATCCACACTCTTGGATTGCATCCAGTCAGGTTAGTTGTAATAATATATAAGAACAAATACATACAAGAATTGTAAGCCATATTTAAAATAAATATGAAAATTATATTTTAATAATAGCATTTTAATTATGTAAAATATAATATAGTGTTATTTCTCATAATTATTAAGCACAGTATGTTATTATTATTTGAACTAAGTTAAAAATAGTTTAAATGCATTATATAGATTTTTCCAGAACTTTAGTCATACATAGGATTTATATTTATTAGGTACATTATGAATTTATATTCTATCCCTTTTTACAGGTCTTGAGAACTTTGACTCTGGTGTTGGAATCTATGCCCCAGATGCTGAGGCATACACAGTCTTTGCTGACCTATTTGACCCCATCATTGAAGACTACCACAATGGCTTCAAAAAGGATGACAAGCACCCTCCCAAGAACTGGGGTGATGTAGAAACCCTTGGAAATCTTGATGCTGCTGGTGAATTTATTGTCTCCACCCGTGTCCGCTGTGGACGTTCCATGGAAGGTTACCCTTTCAACCCCTGCTTAACTGAGGCTCAGTACAAGGAAATGGAAGACAAAGTCTCTGCTACTCTGTCTGGCCTTGAAGGAGAACTTAAAGGCACATTCTACCCCCTCACTGGTATGTCCAAGGAAGTTCAGCAGAAATTGATTGATGACCACTTCCTTTTCAAGGAAGGTGACAGGTTCCTTCAGGCTGCCAATGCTTGCCGCTTCTGGCCCACCGGACGTGGTATCTACCACAATGAGAACAAAACCTTCTTGGTTTGGTGCAATGAGGAGGACCACCTCCGTCTCATCTCCATGCAGATGGGTGGTGACTTAAAACAAGTATACAAGAGACTGGTGACAGCGGTCAATGACATCGAGAAGAGGATTCCATTCTCCCACAATGATCGTCTTGGATTCCTCACTTTCTGTCCCACCAACTTGGGAACAACTGTTCGTGCCTCTGTACACATTAAGTTGCCTAAACTCGCTGCAGACAAGGCTAAGTTGGAGGAAGTAGCGTCTAAATACCACTTGCAAGTACGTGGAACTCGTGGAGAGCACACAGAAGCCGAGGGTGGTGTTTACGATATCTCCAACAAGAGGCGTATGGGTCTCACCGAGTACGACGCCGTCAAGGAAATGTACGATGGCATTGCTGAACTGATCAAAATCGAGAAGTCCCTGTAAGCTTCGATCTCGCTAATCAGTATTTTTTTTGTATTCATTTTCATAAGTATTGAATGTTGTGGGTTGCTTAGCGATACTAGTCAGCGGCGCCCATCGCGGGCGACCGGGCGCGCAGGCGGCCCATTATACTGTTTTTCTTAAAAGTATTTTCTATAAGGAAATGGAAAATAAAGACAGCTAGTATTAAGTCCAATAAAGCTTTTTATTTATATTACCTGATTAAATTTAAAATTGTACTAAGTTTGCATACTTATTTTATAAAAATCCAGACTAAAAATAATAATTCAATTAAAATATAATTGTTACCACTGCATATGCAGCATACTGCATAGTGATATATAAGAAGTATATCCCTAGAAAATATCTTTTAAAATATTTTTCGTGTCCGTGTCGATGTCCGAACCAAAAATATTTTAGTATGTAATATGTATACACTATACAGATTACAGTGCCTCCTAGCTCTGGTATATATATACCATAAATACAGATCAAGTAGAAAACGTTCAGTCGATTTTGTAAGTTGTCAATGCCAAAATTGCAGCTTTAGTCTTCAATGTATAAATGATTAGTTAGAACATCATTATGATTAGTTAGTTTTTTTAATAGTATTTACAAGTTACAACCTGCGTACTGGGGGTTTGGTTTAGTCAAGATGCCTTATCAGATATCAGTAGTGTATGCAGAAAGTCGAAAAATAAATTTGTCGACACGATCTGTCATTTTTCTTTACTAATCTACTATCATAGAGTATCATTAGCATTTCACATCGGTCTATGATTACGTATTATCTGTAACAGTCAAATTCAAATTTCAAATTTCAAAATAATGTTTGAGTGATTTCCAATTTCCATAAATTCAAATTTAAAATCAGCCTTTTAATCAGATATTATAACATTTTAAAGTCCTGTACAGCGTACAATTCTATCTCTTATTAATATCATAACAAGATGTCAACACCAAAGCCAGAAAAGGAATTACATTTACCACTTTCAAGAGTAAAAACTATCATGAAAAGTTCACCTGAAGTAGATGCTGTCGGCCCCGAACCTTTATACTTAGTTACCAAAGTTACTGTAAGTTTATACAATTAAAATTGCTCCTTCCCTGAAAAATATATCACAAAAGTCTTTAAATACATTTTCCTAACCTTTATTTAGAGTATTTATGGATATTATTAATATAGTGGTGGTAATATATAATTAATACAAAATTGTGTGTAATATATTATTGGCTGGTTAAATTTTTTTGTGAGAAGTGTGTAATTTTATTACTTTACTTTTCCAGGAATTATTTGTGATAGATTTAGCCAAGCGAGCATTTAAGAATAGTTCTAACAACTTGTTAGAATACAAGCACATAGCTGATGTTGTACAAGAAGATGACAGCTTAGATTTTCTACGTGAGATAATACCAAGAAAAATCACAGTTAAGCAATTTAAAGAAATGATGGCCCGTAAAGCGGCTAAAGCAAACTCAGATGATTCAACTGAAGAGTCAAGCAGTGAAGAAAGTAGTGATGAGAGTGAAGAAAGTCAGGAAGAATAATATAAGAATACTATATTTTCCTAAAATGTGAAATAAAGTATGGGACCAATCACAATTGTTACTATGATAGCAATAAAATTTGATGTTAATTATAACACTGCTGTCTTGGTCATGTTTTTGAGTATAACAAAATATTGTATTATACGCCTTTATTATTGTGTATAACAGGGGAAATTGTAAAGCCTAAGGAAAAAACTATTATTTTAATTTTTTTAGCAATTGTTATAACATCCATATACAATTTCAACCTTTACTTTACATTGTGTGTGTGTTTTATGGATTGAATTGTATTTTCTTCCTAATACTTTAGATTATGGATGTTGGTGAATATTACACATAACAAGCCTTTTAAGAAATGCAGGTTATTGTGTATGTTCTAATATTTGCAAGTTTTGTTTGTGTTATGTACTTATTCATGTATATTTGGTAAATTCGATGAAACATCACTTAATTCAACATCAAACTTTGTCAAAATTACTTGACATTGGGTGTATGAAATGTAAGAGAATGAAAGTATAAAATGCATTTAAATTGTATACTAGATCAGGTAGTTTCACAAATAAATATTGAAACCTTTGCTGTATTTTCTGTTATGGGTAATGGCAATATATAAAAAAGAAACGATTAAAAACTACTCTCAAGTTTATTCAGTTGAGTAACAGGTATGTGGGTTTTGCCATAAATTTTTAGGCAGGAGCAATTTTATAAGTATACTAGCAGACCGGCCAAGCGTTGCTGTGGCTAAGGTTTTTGTTATATTACATAGTAGTAAACTATTTAAGGGAAACGGTAGGAGAACTTATGTGAAAGGTAGATAGCTTATGTGAAACGTTGGTACTTTTAACACAGCGCTATCTGATAGAATTGTATCAAATAATAAACAAATATTTGCAATAAAATAATATTGCGGGTATAAATTGAGATGTAAGCTATCCTATCTTTTAAGTTAGATCAAACTGCACACGGGGTGCAAATTTGATTGATATCGGTTCGGTAGTTTAGGAGTCCATAGCGGACAAATAACGTTACGCGTAATTTATATATATTAAGATTACCAATAGCTATAGCTCTCAAGCACCTCCCTGAAATTAAGGACATTAAGAAATTTGATTTCATTAATAGGATGTCTACTTTTAGCGGAAATTTTTCCTTAATAATAAGGCGAGGAATGATTGAGAATTATTGAGATTAAAATGAAAAATGATTGTGTGCAAAACAGTCGCATGACATACTGTTCTGCTCTCATAAACACAGGATGTATCTCAATTCTTAATAGATCATATTACATTGTGGCATAAATTATTATATGCATTTTCAGTATGTTGGGAGTTCACACTTGTGTTATACAATTATAAAACTTCAATTGCCCAAAGATTGTTTCAGATTTTTAAGGAACATAAAATATAATAGAAAGTAATAATTCAATATTTGAGATTTTTTACGTTTATTATTAGGAGATTTTAACTAACTTGTGTAGGTGGTTCAATCAAACGATTTAGATTAAACGTCAGCGATTCCTGTCCGTGATAGAAAATAAGCATGTTTGTAATTCGTAGTCAATGTCGAAAATCGACGTCCAGTATATAGTCAAATATGATTTCTGTTAAATATATACTATTAACTCTCATGGATTTTTGATATGATTGACTGGTCTACGATACCCTAGATATATAGTCGTTAAATTCAAAATATTGGGAGAATTCCTTTATAAATCATACTCAAACCTTTATTTGATTTAGATAAACAATATCAACTTTTTAGATACTTATAGGAAAGGGATAGATTAGAATCAGTTCTACTTTCTTTACATAATAACTGGTTTATTAGATTAGGCCAAAGAAGTGTTCTTAAAGATAGTAATAGTAACTAAATACTTTACTTAATATATTAAATACTTTGTTTAGCTTGGCACGCACAGCTAAAACCAAATATTTAAAACGCCTTTAATAAACCAGTACAGTATAGTTATAGCATAAATATACTGCGTTTATAATTTTTAAAACAACTTACGCTGGAAAAAGAAGTGATTAAGTGAAAGTAGCGACTTTGAACTAATGGTTGCTGGGTATTAATTCCTTTTCCCTCTTGATTTTTTCGTCTTTTCTCACTTATTTTACCAGCCCTTGGCCTCACTGCATAAAGTTCAGTTTTTCTCGTCATGGAATTATTTGTTTTATTATTTGACAACTTTTATATGCATAAGTACCTACTTGTATCAAGAGCTCCCTATGAATGTGGAATTTTACGAGTATATAGGAGACGAATTGAACCTGAAATCAGTGTTGGTCTAGAGGCTTCAACGTCCCTAAGGTTGTAGGTTCGATGTTCGTTCTGTCTAAGTGCGCGCGGCCTGCATTAGACCCATAAAGTCAACGGTGTGTGTCAGGCACAGAAGGCTAATGTCTTGCTTGTAAAAAATAAATCAGAGGCTGAAAGGGTTCAGCCACTGTAAATGAATAGTCTTATTCTTAGATTGAAGCAGAGAGTTATTCAAAAAGCTGTCGGGTCTTGTCTATTGCTAATTATTATCCTATAATTTTACCACTTAGACCATTGTAGTTAATATGAATACCTCGGACAAAAAAAAAATTACATGATACGTAGATAATTACCTAACACTTATCACAGCGAGTAATCAAAGTTCTCATTGTCACCAAGACAGGTGTAAACATGGTCTAGTAATTGCACTATTGTACTTGGTATGATTGTTAGCTAGACATTAGAGGTTAAATTAATTTATTATGACCTTCATAATGACCTTATTTACATATTATAAGTATGTTCGATGGTTTCTATAGGTATGGTGAGAAATTGTCAAAATCCTTCTTACTTATCGTAGAGACTTAGAAAAGCTGTTTTTTGTGTAAAATTTGACGTTACTTTCCGAGACCATACTTATTCTTAGCTTCAACTATATGTCACGTCTAGTCTAAGCGTGTTTTAAAAGTCAAAACTTATTTAAAAATTATAATCAAATAAGAAAACTCCTTTTCTATTTACAAGAATTTTTCTATTAAATATCTGCGGATTTTTATAAAGCACCTTTATGTTGTCTATGTCTTTACACAGACAAAAAAAAATTATGTCAGAACTAGAGCAATAAGAATGAAATACAAGTAGATACCAAGCAATTTAAATTGTGGTCACGTATATAATGTTACGTTTACTTTTCTATTTTCTTAACACTGTTTGACCCAAATACTTATGAAATATATCTATTGCGTACTATGTAAACATTGTTTTGGTCATAAAAAATCATATTCAAATCATATTACCGGTTAAACAAAGTACAGGTTTTTTGAGGTTAAGTCTATATGTTTTTAAACTAGACTTATGCAATGTATATCTCAATCCTTATTAATATTTCGAAGGTGGATTCGATATATTTAAACCGTTTAAAGTTTAAGACGGTTATAGTATAAATTGTTTTAGGTATATTAGCTTTTAATAAAACTGCCTAAGTACATTTTTACTACTTCTAGGTACTCGCAGTGAGGACAATCTTTTTCTTCGATTTTTGAAGTAAACATGGATTTTTGCGGTCGTGTAAGGCCTAGTTAAACTCGTTCGCACCCTGGTTATGCACTAATGGATTTTGCTACTGTTTTTACACGCTTTATATTAGCCTCATCTGTATGTATCTACCTATATATGTATGTATGTAACCGACTCCTTCGGACTCGATTTAGACCCACATTAAACGGACAGATTTCATTCAAACTTTGTACACTTATAAAGAATCAGCGACAATATAATAATTTCATAGGTTTATCTCGAAAAAACAATGAATTTTTTTTTAAGTCCACAAAGCAATACGATTAAATTGAGACAACACGTATTGCTGCTAGGACTAAAAAGTGGAAAATAAATATAGTTTAAAAAAACTAAAAAACAATTTAGGCGGAAAATGGTAATAAACAAAAAATACTGGTATTATTGTGAAAAAGCGTGGGTTGCTCGATAGACGAAAAATATGGCACAGAGCGCGCCTTAATTTTCCGCCTAAATTAGGAATTATTTTTCACTTTTTAGTTTGATGTGCTTTGAAAGCGTGTTTTTTAGTTTTTTTAAACTATATTTATTTTCTTCTTATAGTGCCATCTCCTTGCGAAGGTTGGCGATCATGATGGCTAGTTTAATTTTGGAAACCGCTCTTCCAAACAACGCTTGATGCTTTAACCAAACCATTGTGTAAGGTTTTTCAACCTAGCGTCTGGGGCCAGGTCTTCTTCTACCTGCCACTTTGCACTTGTATGATCAGTTGAAGGAGCTCATATTTTTTGGTGTTATACGTGTCCAAAACACTCAAGTTTCCTTTTCTTAACCGTCATATGCTCATAAGCTTCTTTGTTTTATTCTTCTGCATTCTGTCTAGCACGGTTGTATTTCGTAGACCGCATACGAAGATATTTTGTCCAAGATATTTTAAGCATACATGGAAAAACCCAGATCTCGAACGCTTCCAGTTTTTCTTTGGCGCAATTATAAATAATTGGAATATAATTGCCATCCTTGAGGTTTTAGGTTCGACCCCGGCTGTCTGCACCAATGTCTACCTATTTAACATTCGTAAAATAACCCAAAATGTCAACGGCGTGTGTCAGGCACAGGAGGCTGATCACCTGTTAGATTGACAAACTATCATGACAGGATAGATCTAAAAAGGTTGTAGGGCCACCGATTTATAATTATTAAAAAAAATAAACTACCTACAACTAATTTAAAGTGTATAGAAGATGTAATTTGTGAGGTTTCCGTTAAGCAATTGCGGTCATTCGTGACGGCTGCAGCCTGCAACGATGCGTGTTGCACCTAATACTTATCTTTATAGATGTTATTTATCTGTATAATGAAGTTTGTTTGAAAAATGTTTAAGTAAAAAAAAAATGTATATAGAGAATTTTGGAAACATAAACAATTCCAAATTCGATCTATTGGTGGTATTGTCGCAAAAAAGTTTTTTTAACATTTCCTAATAGACAATATATTTATAAATTATA